GAGAAAAGAGAGAGAAAGAGAGAGAGAGAGAAAGAGTGAGAGAAAGGAGAGAAAGAGAGAGAGAGAGAGAGAAAGAGTGAGAGAAAGGAGAGAAAGAGAGAGAGAGAGAGAGAGAGAGAGAGTAAATATGTTCCTATGTGAATATTGTATGTTTGCTCGCTGGCCTATTTCTATGTGTGTGTGTGTACGTGTATGTGTATGTGTGTGTGTCTGCGTTTGTGTGTATAAATGCATACAATCTGCTGTGTGCACCGTAGTAAGCCATTACATACAGCTAAATTTGCATTTAGAGCTGTTTCATTTATGCAAATTAACATATCCGCACTGACTATTAAGGGTGAATATCTTTTATATAGAAGCGACCAACATGCTATACATTAATTCATACACACGCATGCACATACAGGCAAGCACATACGCAGACATATAACAAAAAACAATGAAAACATACAAACAAACAAAAATAAACAAACCCTCACAATCAAACAAACAAAACATATGAACGAAAGTACATAAAAATAATAACAGAAATAGCATAAAATTACAGACAACACATATACATGCAGCTGAAAAAAAGGATAATAATAATAACAAAAATAAAAGATAAAAAGAGATAAATACATGAATGAATAATTAAATACATTGATAATAATGATAGCAATGACACTCATGCAATTTATTGATTAGAATCAATTATTATTATTCTATTAGACACATTTGCAATATGGAGATCGTGAAAGAGAGAAGAAACAGGGAGAAAGATAAAGAAAGAAGAGACAGAGAGACAGACAGGCAGACTGACAGACAGATAGACAGACAGACAGAGAAACAGTTGGGGTATGATGATAAGGATAATGATAATAACAGTGATAATAACGGTAATGTTGATGATTGTGATAATGATAATAACCTGTGATAGCAATAAAGAGGGATCTGATGATAACAATAATGAAAACGATGGTGATCAATATGATAATAGCGATAAGGAGAGTAACTGATAATAATGACAATTATAAATATAATTGACTATTAGTTATAGTGATAATAACAATGAGAAAGAGAGAGAGAGAGACAGAGATAGAGAGACAGACAGACAGACAGACAGAGAGACAGAGATAGACAGAGAAAGAGAGAGAGAGAGAGAGACGGAGATAGATAGAGAGAGAGAGAGAGAGAGAGAGAGAGAGAGAGAGAGAGAGAGAGAGAGAGAGAGAGAGAGAGAGAGAGACAGACAGAGAGACAGAGAGAGAGAGAAAGAGAGAGAGAGAGGCGGGAAAGAGAGCCAGACAGACAGAGATAGTAACATAACGAAAATGATAATAATGCCAATCATGATAAGAAATCTAATAATATTGTTTATAAAGATAATGTGTAATGACAGAGAGACAATTGCAAAAATGATAATGATCTCAATGATAACAACAACGACAATAATGATCATATGATTAGTTGCAACAATAACGATAATCCTGATACATCTACGATAAGAATAAAAACAATATGAAGTTATATTGGCACTGTTTAAAAGAGAGCAAAGAAATCCATAACAATGATGATATGATGATAATGATAACAATAATAATAACATGTTATCGACGACAGTAACGAAAATACTGATGCCCTAAAAAAATAACAAAATAAAGATAATAAAAAAGAAAATCACAATGACAAAAATAATATTAACAATACTAAAAAAAATAATACTCGTGAAATGGTAATAATAAAGGCAATGATATTAGAAGTGATACGACCAGTAATAGCAATTATATATTAATTACTGCTGCTCTTCATCGCGGTATTACATACATAATCTCTCTCACAATACTAACAGCATTATTAATATCATAATCAATATCGTGAAATTGAACGGCATCTCTGCAAATCACAGCTTCGTTTGGTGATGCAAAAATAAACACAATTCTCTGTCTTTGTTTCTTTTCTGTTTGTGGCTGACGTTCCTCTGTCCTCGTTTGTTTGTTTAAATGTTTATGTCTGTGCTGATCTCTGTCTGTTTGTCTGTATTCTTTTACGTATATCTATCCGTTTATGTCTTTCTCTCCTCTCTCTGTTAAAAGAGAGAGAGGAGAGAGAGAGAAAGAGAGAGAGAGAGAGAGACAGAGAGAGAGAGAGAGAGAGAGAGAGAGAGAGAGAGACAGACAGACAGACAGACAGACAGACAGACAGGCAGACAGACAGACAGACAGAGACAGACAAACAGACAGACAGGCAGACAGAGACAGAGACAGATACAGAGAGAGAGAGAGAAAAGAGACAGACAGACAGAGAGGGAAGACGAGAGAGAGAGAAAGAGGGAGAGAAAAGAGACAGATAGAGAGGGAAAACGAGAGAGAGAGAGAGACAGACAGACAGACAGACAGACAGACAGACAGACAGACAGGCAGACAGACAGGCAGACAGAGACAGAGAAAGAGACAGAGAGAGATACAGAGAGAGAGAGAGAAAGGAGACAAACAGAGACAGAGAAGGAAGACGAGAGAGAGAAAGGGAAGAATGAGAGACAGAAATAAAGAGAGACAGCCAGAGAAAGAGGGAAAGGCGAGAAAGAGAGACAGACAGACAGAGGGAAAGAGAGAGAGAGAGGAGGGAGGGAAAGAGATAGCAAGCATGGAAGCGAGAGAAGGGGGAGAGGAAAATTCTTTTAATTTCTTCCGCGTCTCTCTCTTCCCCCCTCTTTCTGTGTGAATGGCTGAAAACTTTTTCCCTCTTCCCTCATTTCTCTGTTGCTCTCTCAAGCGAGGGCTATTCTCCATCTTTCTTTCCCTTTTTCTCTTCATTTTCTTTCTCTTTCCTTTCCTATCACCACTCTCTTTCACTCATTCTAACTTTCTATCTATATATCTATCTGTCTGTCTCTCTGTCAATATACCTATCTATCTGTCTGTTTCACACTCTACCTTATCCCCTCTCTCTCTCTCTCTCTCTCTCTCTCTCTCTCTCTCTCTCTCTCACTCTCTCTCTCTCTCTCACTCTCTCTCTCACTCTCACTCTCTCTCTCTCTCTCTCTCTCTCTCTCTCACTCTCTCTCTCACTCTCACTCTCACTCTCTCTCTCTCTCTCTCTCTCTCTCTCTCTCTCTCTCTCTCTCTCTCTCTCTCTCTCTCTCTCTCTCTCTCTCTCTCTCTCTCTCTCTCTCTCTCTCTCTCTCTCCCATCCCGCTCCTCTCCTCTCCCCTGTACTTGTGTTTACGCTAGGAAGTTCTGTGTTATTGAAGGTGTACATTCCTTAGGCCTAGTCAGTTTCAGGATAAAGGAAGCGAGGGGAAGGGACAGAGAGAGAGGGGGGGGGGGAGGAAGGGAGGGAAAGAGAGAGAGAGAGGGGGGGGATGGGAGGGAGAGAGAGAGAGAGAGAGAGAGAGAGAGAGAGAAGGATGGTGAGGGGAAACATATGTTTTTCTTTTGTCTTTGATATTTCTTATTATTTGTGACTTTACCTTTTATCTTTCTCCATCGGTTGGTTTAGTCAGTGTCGGGTGTATTTTTATTATTAGAGTGAGAGGGAGAAAGAGGAAGGAAGGGAGAGAGGGGGAGAGAAGGGGGATAGGGAGAGAGAGGGAGGAAGGGAGTGAGTGAGGGAGAGAGCGAAATATTGCGTGTGAGAGAGGGGGGGAAGAGAGATATTGGGAATGACGGTGAGAGAGAGAGAGAGAGAGAGAGACAGAGAGACAGAGAGACAGACAGACAGACAGAGACAGACAGACAGAGACAGACAGACAGACACAGACAGACGAAGAGGAAATGAGATATTGAAAAAAGAATGAGAGAGACGCTGACAGAGTGAAAGAGATAAAAAGAGGGAGAGGGACAAAGAGAAATCAAAGGTTATTGTGAACGCGATTTGTAAGAAAGAGGAAGGGAACGAGAAGAGAAAGACTGAATGAAAAGGATAGATAAACAACCAGACAAACAGACAGATGAATAAATAGATAGATAAAGAGAGATAGAGAAAGAGGAGAGGAGAGAACGGAAGGGTGGAGTGAGCGTCGTACGAAGGGCCTGGGAGGGGAAAGTGAGGGGAGCTTCGTGAGGGGGGGAGAGTGAGGGAAAGGGGGGAGGGAGGCAGGATGAGGCGGGGAGAATGAGGACCTTTAGTGGGGGGAGAAAGCGAGGGAGGGAGAGAGAAGGATGTAGGGAGGGGGGGGGGCAGAGAAAGGGATGAGAGAACGAGGGACGAGGAGGAATAAACAGATAAAGACAGGGAGACAGAGTGAGGGAAAAAAAAGACAGAGAGAAACACGAACCATTTTCCCCTCAACCCATCTCCATCTTGCTCGAGTCGAAGAATAAAAAGGAAAGCGAAAAAAAGAAAAAACATATCTTTGTCTTCCTCGTATACCAAATGTCAGACAGTGAGGAAAAAATGATAAGAAAAGGAGACCAAAAGAACATACAAAAAGCAAGCAGCAGGATGGAAATTGACCGAGGATTGAGCGTCCAGTGGAAGAGGGAGCGAGCGGGTGCCATCCTCCAGCGCCGCCTCAGCCTCCATGATGGCACTCGGCAGCGCCACCGAGGGACGAGCGCGACCTCAGCATGGAGACCCGGAGACTCATTAGCGAGCCAAGAAGCGTTCCTCAAACTCATGGTTACTGCACATTTGGCTAGATATTATCCATGACGCCATGTTGCTTCGCTGATCAAAGGGGAATATTTGTTTATTCATGACGAGCCACCTCGGTGTCGCCCATGAAGCCAGCCTCCAGTGGTGTGTCGGGTGCCGCCTCCGCATCCAGTGTGCCACAGTGTGCCAGCCAGACCGCACCCGGCCCTCCACCACTCAGCGCCGCCCGCTTCCTCGTAGCCAATGGGAGGCCGCGATCTCCCAGCCTCAGCGCTCGAGGCTCCGCCCCCCAGCACCCCGGCGCAGCGGGAGTGGTTGTTATGGCAACGGAGGGCGGAGCCGAGCGACGCGCCCCCGCCCTCCCCGCCTGCGCTGTGGCTCTCATGTGGGATAGTGTTAGTGTTAATGTGAACGAGATAGAGTCGACACCCGGCGCTGACGCTGACGGCGCGGTGTTGAAGCCTCCTCCAAGGCGCCGCGCACTGTCCCGGGACCTGCAGTGCAGTAATGCTCGCAGCCCGACGCCCTTCGCTACAATAAAGTTAGGGTTTTCGCTAGACGGTTGGCAGGCCGAGAGTGTGACGCGCAAGGGAGAAGGAAAATAAATCCTAGCGAGGGAGAAGTGCAGGAGTTGCCACGATCGCGGGAGGCGGCGGCCAGCGTGGAATCCAGTCCCTCGCGCCCCGAAGTGTGATGGCTTGACCTCCCTCCCCCTCGGAAAATCCTGCTCCCTTCCCCTTTGTCTCTCTCTCCCTCCTTCCCCGCCTCTCCCTCTCCCTCCCCCCCCCCTCTCTCCGACACGGAAAAAAACACACAAAGCCGAAAAGACCGTGTGTGCAAAACCTCCCAACCGAAACACCGAAGAAACGAAAGGATTAGAAAGAAGAAGAAGAAAAGGAAGAAGAATCAAGAAAAATAATCCCCCAAAAATCACCCCACTAAAAAAAGAAAGAAAAAAGAAAAGAAAAGAAATAGAAAGAAATAAACACCAGAAAAAAATATATTAAAAAAATAATAATACCCACCCCACCCCCCTCTCGGAAAAAAAAACGAAACAAAATTTAAAAAAAAAAGAGGGGAAAAAAATAAATAAACACTCCCACACCCCCACAAACCTGCTACAAACCACCACAATGATCATTTGCTGTGCTGGCTGCGACAAACCGATCCTGGACAAGTTTCTCCTGACGGTGCTGGACCGAACGTGGCACGCCGAGTGTGTGCGCTGTGTGGACTGCGGCTGTGCGCTCACCGACAAGTGCTTCAGCCGCGAGGGAAAGCTCTTCTGTAGGAGCGACTTCTTCAG